TGTGTGTGTGTGTGTGTGTGTGTGTGTGTGTGTGTGTGTGTGTGTGTGTGCAACTGAGCATATCTGAATCCTAAAGCATACAACACATACATTTTAGCTTCTCAAGGTGCCTACTGTTAACTTTATGAGGGTGATATGCAAGACTGTTAAATAAAGATAAATTCTAATTCAACCGGTACCTAAACAGTATCACTAACATTGCGTCCTACTTTGCATTTACAAATATCCACAGTAAATATTCTAATTGCAAAACTACTAACTATTCAGTTAAAGTTACAACTCATGCTACTAGTATTTCTATATTGCTCCATAATAATAATTTGTCAAAGTACTTTTTAAAACATAAAAATCTATATTTCAGCAGCACAGAACTATTGCTGCCTGAAAGCTTTTGCTTACTTCTCTTAAGAGTGCACTGATTTCTTAGCATTAGAAGTGCCGTCTGGCTAGGAGCAAATATATGTCATCTCAGATCTTAAAAACTATGAAGGACTGAGTTATTTAAATAACTTTTGTGGCAGCAATGCGTTGGCTAAACACATTAATAGAAGCTGACAGAAAACCAAATGTATGAGGGGGATCCAGCAGCCTGTTTTTGACATCTATACAACATCAAACCACCTACACATTCACTTCTTGGTGCATCACACTGACAGCTTCCTGTTGCTGACAATCATTTTTATCAAGTCATATCCATATTCAGTTCTGATTATGAAACCAAAGATGATGGATTATAAATTCAGTCTATGGTTTTAGGGTAAAAAAAGAACGTCATTGTGGAGGTTTTGATCATTTTTTAAAAGTAAGACACAAAACATCTTGCTGACAGCTGTATTACAAAAAAATATATATAAAAAAGAAAAAACTTGCTCTAAATGAAATCTGCATTTGGCCAGTTTAAGATTTAAAATTTAATTCAAGCAGCACTAATAGGTTGTGGTTAGCATGGACCTTCTGGTCAGTGAGAGGGAAAAAAAGATCATAACTGGTTTGCATGTTCTACTGCACAGAAATAATCAGATTTATCCAAGTGATGGACTATGCTAAACAGTTGTGTCACACAGGTATAGTAGGTATAGTATGTTGGTTGGATGTTGAATGCATAGGCTACTTTTATGCTGCTGACTGATAGAGGGAATAAAGTAAAACTTGGATCTGCATATTCAAAACAAAAAAAACATGAAATATATCTTATATCAGAACCTATTTATTAGGTATATGGACAGATTGTTGTCCAATCTGACATTTTATGAGTCTACAAACACATTTTTGTCTTACCTGTTTCAGAATCTGTGCAGCCATGTGGTGACTACAATCAAAGATGATGCGAAACTCCCGACTTCTCTTCATTTCTTTCAGAAGAGGTCTTGTATCCTGCGTGTCAAGAGGAAGCTGGCGAATCTTTAATCGTATGTTGTATCTTGATGGGGCCATTATCAGCTCCTGCAGCCTTATTAGACCTTGTAAGAAACAGTAAAAAAAAAAACAAAGACAAAGTCATACGCATCTAAAATGTTTGTAGATTAGAGGTAGCTTCATTGTGCAAAGCAAAGTATGGTCCATTCACCTGTGCTGTCATCATATACAACAGTGGCTGTTTTCCATTTGAGAAACTGTACAAGGTCCAAAATAGCATAGCTTAACGAAGAATAATCCGGGTATAAATTGGCATAAAAGGTGTCCCTGTTGTCCATGGGGTGATGTTTCCACCGCACCTGGATGTGCGGCACTTCAAGTGCATTGCAGATGGACTGCACAGCATTTGATGAGGAGCTATGTGAAGGCCCAAATATTGCAACCACACCTAAAGACAGCTGGTCACAAGCTAAAGAAGAGTAAGAGACAAGAATTCATATGGTCTACATGAGTACAGACTGTAAAAAATAAATACAAATACAAGATGATTAGATTTAAACAYTGACCCCTAATTTACACTAGATGCGGTTCCGCTCCGGTCCTGTCTGATCTCTGCAGCAAATAGAAACCATTATAATCAATAAGAGTATTTACACTAACTCTGCATGGCGGCGCAGGATGACGGTGAGCAGATGGCGATCTGATAAAATTAGATTTGATCCTAATTTTGCCGGATGCCGGAGCTGTGCCGGAGTCAAACTTCAAAGACCACGTTGGACCAACAGGAAAAAAAATCAAGCACAACATCCGTATTTTCAAAAATAATTCACCAAAGGTGGACAAATTTTGTTGAAAGCCCAGCTACATTAATAAATATGTGGGTATATTCATACACAAATGCTGTCAAAATATATCACTCTGTTTGGGAAGCAGATGGCAACGTGTAGCATGCAGAATATGCATACACACATAATACGTGTGGATTTTATTTTGAAATCAGAAGTTTTAAAATTGTGACAGTGATACAGTTTCAACTTTGGAGTCCGTCTTCCACAGAATGAATTATTTTGCTCTGACCTCTACATGTATCACCGGATTTATCGTGTGACCTCACATTTTCTGCACACGCTTTTCGGACCTCCTCTGTACTTCGCACTGGAGCGGACCAGATACTGTATGAACTGGGGTGCAAATGAACGGCGGCGACCAGTGCAGCGCAGCGGAGAGGAACCACATGTAGTGTAAATTAGGGGGTTAGGTTCCACGATTAACTCAGACRTATCAGAACACAGTGAGAGGACAAATGTTTGAATAAACACAAAGTCGCTCACCTTTTCTTGATGCTTCAAAGCTGTCATAGATATTAATCCTCTGTATGTCATATGTTAATGTTGTGTTGGGCAACAAAGTCCTGTTTCTGTTAATATTGTTCACAGCAAATTTAAAGGCAAGCTCCTCAGCACTGACGAGTGAAACAGGTCCATCTGTTTGTTCAAAAATCCCACCTAAAACACAAAAACAAACAAAAAAAATAARTATGGAGCAATGAGATTTGGTATCAAATATGAGGCAAGCTAAATGAGACACACAAGTATACTTTTTGATAACTAAGCAGACAAAAACTGGTATGACGCATGTGCGCTCCGGAGTAGCAATAAAAGCAGCAGCGAACGTTACACAAAATATAAAATTTACTCAGCAAACATGCTTTTCATTTTCAGGGAAGACTGAAAAAAATATATCAGCTTTGAAGTCTGAAACCATAATGGATTTAAGACATGAGTGCGTGTTTATGCTTGTGTGTCTGCTCCATCAGGACAGGATATCTTAGGCTCTTGTCTCTCCATTAAGATATCCTTTCATTTCACCAGAATACCACGTCAGTAGAGCAGATAACTGGACTTGGGCTCCGTTTTTTTTTTTTTTTTTTTTTTACATATGATTCAAAGGAAAGTAGTCTTTCATTTTTCAGATGGCATGAAGCACTGCTCAAAATGTACAAAACATTTCTATACAAACATCAAAGGAAAGTATTTCTTCAGATGGTGGTGTGTCAGACCATCAGTTAGCACTTCATCTTGAAGTGCAGCGAGGAAAAAAAATCTTGCTTTCCTTCAATTTTTTTGTAAGATTTTTCTTCTGACTGGATCTCCAGATTAAGTAAAACAATCCAGAATACTGATGAAATGATACAGTATTTGGGTCACTTTCACATAAAAACCATTTGTTTAATTCAAAGCTAAAACTACAAAATATCACCATGTGCCATCTTTTTGATTTCTACAATGTTAAAGATATATTTTTACAATGTTAGCATAACCTTGATTACGTTATCTGAGTTAATAAACCTGTAGTGATATCCTTTTATATATTTATTTATAAATTATCCTTAAAGTGGAAATACACCTAAAACTGTAAACGAGTGCCAATAAGTACAAGGCACACACTCAAAGTCATTGAAATTTACTTTAAAACTAATAGAGCATACTTCAAAGAAAACGTCTGCTCAGTTTAACACTAAAATAGTCAGAGAACCACAATTGATGTGTAATTGGTAAGATAACAAAMGTAACATTTACTGTCAAATGTAAGACAGCAAAGTCCCCCTGTGGCTCGGCAACAGACTCTAAGAAGACAGTTTAGACAGCTTCTTAAAAGACGCTTGCAGGAACATCAGTTTACAGAGAGACTTGCTCCTCAACCTCCACTCTCATCATATTATCCATTCCTGCAACAAAGCAAAATGTCTCTGCCATCTTCTGTCACAAAACAGAAAAAAAGTAATAATAATCACTTTCATCAAAAGTTAGAAATGTCTGTATTTAAAGTTAAGTTTTATCCATCAATTCAGAGACAACCTTAAAACAACCTTCATTTTAAAGTTTCAGACCAAACACATAAAAACTAATTCTTCTGCCTGGTAACAATGTTTTAGTTGATAATAATTTACAGAAGCTGTGAATATCTTTTTGGAAATGGATTTTTTGACAAATCAGGACCGGATTTGGTCTTATATAAAACTAAATCCGTTCTTCGCTAGAATAAAGTACCAGTGACCTCACGCTGACAAAGTCATTTTCCATTAAGGCTGGTAGCTAAGTAAAATTTGATGTGTAAAACAGTCCCATTAACAAGGCTATTACAGGCATTATCTTGCTGGTATCTCTCATGGATACAGTATGTCACCAAATGAATGATTATGCCCACTTTGTTGGCAAACAGTGAAACCAGCAATAAAGTCATCAGTACAGTCAAATTACCTAAAATTTGGTGGGGTCTKGCAGCACACCTCAAGTGCTACAAGACCTTTGTTTAAAACTGTTGTCTTTGTCTGTTGAAGTTGTACATCTGAAGAAAWACTGAACAGATTTTAATGAAACACTCAGAAAGTTATCACTGGGTATACATCTACCATTGATTAGGGCCTAGCAGTGTCTTGCCTGCAGACACTCCTGCACTTTGCAGGTGCCAAGGAAGTGAACCCCAATCTTCACCCTGGAAGATGACCACATCCTCACTGGGCTAAAGCTAATCCCTTTAAAGGAGGAGTATTATGCAAAATCATTTTTTTAGCTTTATTTCATGATATAATATCATTCCCTCATCCAAAACACACCCAGAGTGTTGTTTTGGCTCATTCACATGTTGGAGAAATCCTATGGTAGCCATGTGGAACTGCATAAACACTTGCTGGTCCCAAGCTCCTCCCTGGAGCTCAGTCCCCAGCCGAGCTCCCACCGCACAGAGCACACCCCCCCTCCCCCACACAGCGCCACCAGACCTGGTTGAACTGCATGTCTGTTGAGCTTGTAATTCAAACTACTTCTCAGTCCAGTCCCTTCTGGTTAAAACCATGCCGTCATCAAGGAATTGTAATTTTGGATGCCAAGAAGACTGACATCTTACAACGCTCCTACTAAATGTTGTAAATGGCGTAACGCACTGCTATGAAGACATGCTGAAGTGGGAGTGTCAGAAATGTTCTTAAAGAAACAGAGGACAATTTCAAGGCATTTAGATGTGATGCAAAGTCCTATTTATTTTTGATATACAGCATTTTCATTATTAACTGAAGGTAACATAAGCTGCGTTTCGACTGCAAATGTGTGCAAAACATTGTCGATATTCTGTTAATGTAGAAAAAAAACAGTTTCGCAACTGCGGTGTTTCCATTAAAAGGAATCCCCGATTAGTTGTAACA